TTCTGGCCAGACCCGCCCCGCGCCCAGGTGTGTTCGCCAACTACGGCCTCGCTGCTGCTCCTGTTGCCTGAGGCGGGCGGGGGAGGACCCGGGCGCCCTGCGGGGCGGGGAGCCCAGGCTGCCAGGCCCCTCCACTCTCCGTGCGGGGGCAAGGACCCATCGCCCTATTGCCTTGGTGTGTTCAGCAATAGGGGAGGGGAGTGCAGCCCCGCCTGCCCCCCAGCCCTGCCCGCCGCGCTGGGGCCCCTGCAGTGTATAGTGCCCAGAGGCTGGAGGGGATAAATACCCAGCTACAAAGATCCCCTCTAATCACCTCCCCTCTCCCCAACACGCAGCCGTTCTCGGGAGGGGAGAGATTCTGCCATGGACACCAGCAGCTCTAGGGAGGGACCCGGAGGGACCCGCCCCGCTCAGGGGCTCCCCGGGTGCAGCCCTTCACCGATTAGATACCCCGGAGCTTTTCTTCTGCTCTTTAACGGGGGAGGGGAACATGGGGACCAAACTCTTAACGTGGCCCCTCGACTGCACTGAGGCGATTGCAGTGTGCGCTGGCTCCTGTCCCATCCTGTGCAGGGGGCTGGGTGCTACTGTGGGACACATGCCCTGCTGGGGCTGGGCCCTTTATTTTCATTGGCGCCATTACCCAGGTGTGTGTGTCTCCGGGGAAGGAGTGCTGTGACTTGTGCGCTGTGCTGGGAGCTGGGTGGCAGGAGAAGGAGCAGGCACTTGCTAAGGAGTAGAGGGAACCAGAAAAACTTTTCTTCTCTGCCCCGCAACACGGGACTGAGGGCAGATCGGTTCCAGGCACCAGCAAAGGAAGCAGGTGCTTGGGGCGGCATGTCTGGGGTCTTCAGGGCTTTATTTTTTCCCCCCGCTTCGCCGCTTGGGGTGGCAAAAAAACTGTTTGTGCCGCTACATCTTGCCCAGCCAAATTCCACCCCACAATTTTGATGTGATGTTACTGTTCTTCACTTTCTGTCCTAAAACGGTTGAATTGCTGAGCAGTTGTGTACAGCTGCTGTATTCAGCCTCAGAGATGGCTGCATTGTAGTAATGGTTGAGATACTTCTCATATTTACAGCAGTTTGTAGACTCCTTTGGAATCCTTCAGGATGAAACACGCTTTATATGTGTAAACTGTAGTATCTTCATTTTAAAGTTAAAGCCAATTTACCAAAGAAAGCATACTCTTAAAGGAGACCGGCAAAGGATTTTCTTTTTAAAATTGTGCTCATTCGTCTTTCTGCTGCTTTCTGGTTTATAAAGAGGGCTAAAGGTTTTTTGAGAGGAGTGATGGGAAGATGGGGGGGGGTTACACTTTTTCTGAAAAATTGTGTACATTTGAACTCTCTGAAGTTTCAAATGTGATGTTCCCTGGAGACCATTCTGGGTTCTAGTCCTGGCTGTACCAGTGGTGCAAGTGGAATCCATTTCTTACAGGGGGCAGCATGATGGGGCACGTGACCTCCTCACGTGACCCTCCATGTGACTCCTCCCCACCCCCATCCCAGGGCCCCCACGCTCTCCCCATCCCCTCCCCATCATCCACCTCCATTACGTGGAGGGTGGGGCTCTGTCCTCCTCCCGCTACACTGGCGAAAGAAGTAGAACGTGGGGCTGCTGGGCGGCCCTATGCCCGCAGCTCCTCCAGCGCAGCTCTATCACCTTAGCCCTTCCACTCAGGATCTCCTCTGTCTGTCAGTGTACAACAGCAGCCCCGCCGAAGGACATGGCTGGGGGCAGTACAGTGGCACCGGAGAAGCTGCGGGCGTTGGGCTGCCTGGTGGCCCCATGTTCTACTCCTCTTCCTGCTGCGGTTCCCTCTCCCGGGCGCTGCAGCAGGGAAAGGAGCAGAACATGGGTGTGACAGGTTCGATCACAGAAACCCACTTGGGACTGTCACCTGATGTGCTGAGACTACCTCTGAGCCTGTTTTCTCTGCCAATTTGGACCACCAGAACCCTGCCTTGTCGAGCCAGACATGCCAGTCTGCTCCAACACAGACTGAGGATCTGAACCATGTGCCCCAAAGCTGTAGATTTAACTGAAAACAACTTAAGAAGTGCTCCTGTCTCTAGCACCCAGACACCCAGCTTCCAATGGGATCCAAACCCCAAATAAATCAGTTTTACTCTGTATAAAGCTTATATAGGATAAACTCATAAATTGTCCGCCCTCTGTAATGCTGACAGAGAGATATGCACAGCAGTTTGCTGCCCCCAGGTATTAATTACTTACTCTGGATTAATTAACAAGCAAACGTGATTTTATTAAATATAAAAAGTAGGATTTAAGTGGTTCCAAGTAATAACAGACAGAACAAAGTAAGTTACCAAGCAAAATTAAAGAAAACACGCAAGTCTAAGCCTAATACATTAAGAAACTGATTACAGATGAAATCTCACCCTCAGAGATGTTCCAATAAGCTTCTTTCACAGACTGGACTCCTTCCTAATCTGGGTCCAGCAATCACTCATACCCTGTATTTACTGTCCTTTGTTCCAGTTTCTTTCAGGCATCTCTTGGGAGTGGAGAGGCCATCTCTTGAGCCACCTGAAGACAAAATGGAGGGGTTTCCAGGGCCTTTTATGGAAAAATAAAAGGGTGGGTGGAAACCCCTTTGTTCTCCTGTGCAAAATCACAGCAACAAGATGGAGTTTGTAGTCACCTGGGCAAGTCACATGTCCATGAATGATTCACCTTTTTGCAGGCCAACACCATTGTTTACATGTTAGTTTGAACATTCCCAGGAAAGCTCAGATGTGGATTGGCATCTCCCAAAGTCCATTGTCAGTTAAGTGTTTCTTGATAGGACTATTTTCAGTAAGTGCCCATTCTCAAGAAGCTGACTAAATGCTTCACTGAGGCTACTTAGAATCAAACCCCTTGAGATACAAGTACATAGCCAATATTAATAACTTCAAATGCAAAAATGATACACAATACAGACAGCATAATCATAACCAGCAAACTACAACTTTTCCGTAGACACGCCACTTGACCTCCTTTCTACAAGACCATACCAGCTATAAATATCTTGGTACGGTGGACTGAGCCGGACTGGACTTGCCCTACCTGCACTGCTGGAACTAACCTTATAATCAGTCACCGGGGATTATATATATATATATATATATATACACACACACACACACACACACACACACTA